CCCCCCCCCACCCAATTCTTTTTTACTTCGAGATTCTACATTGTTAATACATTCCTTGAATAATTATATAGTACAATTTTTAGGCTTACTCACAATCTCTCAACTAAATTAGAAAAAAAAAATCTTAAGTTTTATCAGAAAATTCAGGTAGGGGCTTATCTTCCAAGAATGACTTGAACAAAACAAGCGATCTTTGAGGCTGTGAGAAAGGGACTTCATGGGAGGCACCTCTTACGGTGGCAAATGAGAGGATATTGCCATAAACTTGAGTCCATCCACCAACCTAAACAAAATTTTGTATACTCAAATCAGTTCATGTATATGTATAAAACGAATTGGATTGTGTTTTTTTAGTGTTTTACTTCCGTGAGAAATACCTCCTACTATAGTTATGCATGTATATATAAAATAGTTTAACCAAAATGTTTAGTAGTATATACCTGCTGGCCTTCAAACCATACTCTATAAGGGACTGTTGTATTCAGCCTTAGTTGTCTAGCAAGCTTTTGAACCAAGGTGCGGCTTCCAGTAAGTGGAATTACTGAATCTTGATCTCCACTATAATGACAACAAAATATGTTTTTGTTAATTGGCACTTAAAAAGCATACACATGAACCTTCATGTTCAACTAAGCAAATACAATCAATAAGAAGGAAAGATTTTAGCTCTAGTTTACCTGTAAATTAAGACCCGAACTCCAGCTTTTATAAGTGATCCAACAACAGGAAGTGTTGGTACCTCCAGGTTGAGCATATCATAGTCCAGAATGCTGTTACCAACACACAATGTCACAAAGCCTGTTATTAGGATTGGTCATAATTACAAAATAAACTTACTATGATTACTGGTATTTCATGTTCCAAAGAAAAATTAAGCAAATCCATTAGGGTGACCAAAATAACTTGATAAATGATAACAATTGTTTTTCTTCTTTTTTGAAGAAATTACTTGCTGCAGACATCCCACTTTCGAACTCCAACAAGCTTGGCATGGAGAACCTTTTGCACATCTTTTCGGTTTAAGTAATTTCTAACTTTGTCATCTACACATACATCTATGCTCTCATTTGTTTGCTGTTTGGAAATAGGGTAAAAAGAGCTCTTTAAGACATAAGGAACAAGCCAATTTGATATTTTTTTTACCAGAAGTATAATAGTGAAAAAATGATAGTAAAACATCCACAAGGGAAAGTCAACGAGAGAGAACTCACTTGGCCTTGAGGACAAAAAGCTTTGGATTGTGAAAGCACTGAGGAAATGCAAACATCAAGGGTGACATCATATTTGTCCACAAATTTACTGGTTTCTCTGCTTACTTGCCTCATAACCTTTGAACAAAGTGGCGAAATTGAGTCTCTATAGTATTCACTGACATACCGGGAATAATTACAACCTGTAGTGAACAATTTGTACGTTGAATCTGATATCAATCCGTGAGACCAGAAGAACTCAGCCCTTGAATTGAAGTCTGTGGCATATTCTAGAACTGGATTACCCAACTGCAATAAAAGAGACCAATTTAGTATTATGCATTATTAGCGATGTCATTAGTCTAAGAAAGAAGAATGGTTGATAAATGAATGACGTGTTACTCACAGCTATGCCTTTCAGATTGAATATCTTCTCCTTTTTGTTTATTTCAATCATGAGCTTTGCAAGTTGTGGAACATAATGCCCTGATGTTGATAAAGAAAAATGTGTAACATGAAATAATAGTGATTGCTATATGTGTAACTGGCATTTCGAAATTTAGTTTTTCTAGAAATGATGGCTGAAAAGTGACGTGGCATGCTTACCTGCATAACTTTCTCCTGCTAGAAACAAATCTCTCTGTCTGTATTGAGGGAACTTGTTAAACCAGTGTTGCAAGAATACAAGATTGTCCCTGGCTTTAGAAATCAAAAGTACTACTTCAGATGACAGAAGGGAATAATGACTATTTGTGCGTTCAAGGAGTGGCATGTAGAAATCAGAACAATGCCATTCCAATGCAACCGTTGAGGACAAGGGAGGAAAATAATCAAAGAGAGTATATCATATCATGCAAAAGTTGTGTGGCATTTTTAGCACTAATTGCTGTTTTTGTCTCGACTTTTTAAAAGCCTAAACATCATGCATATTGTACATACCTTTTTCGACAGAAGATATGATTTAAAGAAGCTTTCTAAAGAAGACCTTATTTATCTCAAAAGATTAAAAAAAAAAAGGTTCTAAAGCAATTGATATTAACATAAGATAGATTTACCTGTTGTCTCATCATTCACATTCTTATAGGAGAAGCCACCTTTAGCATAAGAGAACCCCACTCCAACTGGTGTCTCCAAATACAACATGTTTGTCTCTGCATCACAAAGTAACTCTATCATATTGGAGCAATTCTTGCACATATAATGGAGTAGTCAATGCCTCAATGGAGTACCTCTGTTCCAACTGTACTCATTTTTTATCAGAACTTCCCCATTGGGTCTAAAAGGTCCATTTTCAGAGAATGCACCCACTCCCAGAGAAGAACAACCAGGTCCTGTAAACAGGAATTAACTTGCATACATTTAAAGTCTCTAAGAAATTTCAAAGTCATATTCTGAAACTAAATGGTCTATGAGCGTGTTTGGATAAAAGGTAGAAGTACTTTTAAAAACTTCTCTACTAAAAATAAAGAGTTTTTTTTTTTTTTTTTTTTTTTTTTTTTTTT